TGCGTGTGCGTGTGCGTGTGCGTGTGCGTGTGCGTGTGCGTGTGCGTGTGCGTGTGCGTGTGCGTGCGTGTGTAATTTGGTCATGATGTTGGATTTTGAGGGTTGTGAGTCTCGCATCCAGGGGCTCCTGAGCTGGTGCTGAAAACATGGCTGCTGGGCATGGCGAACCCCCTAGGTCCTAAACCCAAAGCTTATGTGACATTTCTGGGCTGTTGAGTTACCAGAGTGTGGGCTTTGCTTCTTTTTGCAACAGGCTTGCTGCTTCGCCGGGAGTCGGTGAAAACCGTAACCCATATACTAAACTTACTCAACCTGGGGCTACGAGGTCGCATGGCACCCCAACTTGCTGCGCAGCTGAGTCCGCAAACGACGGCAGGCGACAGGCGGCAGTGAAGACCTGACACTTCCGCCGAGTTCGATGAGTAACCGGTCCTTGAGGACTAGATGAAGCCTGGTGTGTGTGTAAAAAATAAGCGCATTAAAGTCGTTAGAATGCATGATCGCATTTGGGGGTTCATTTGGTCCCCAAGGTTCGGTTGCTCTGCCCCTTGCTCCCAGCGCCAGCCTTCAAATCCGTTACTTTGTCTTCTGCTCTACGGCAAAGTGACGACCCTTGAGCTGGAGTCCTTGCGACATGGTCACACACTTCGGGATCTGAAGCGGGGCCTCCGAAATTTGGGCCAGAACTAAGGTTGCCGCAGCCTCCTCTCAAGGCAATGTGCCGATGCGTTGGGGCTGTACAAGACGACCCGAGGTTAACCAAACATCCCAAAACACCTCATCAACGAAGTCTGAGGCACTCGAACTTTAGGGACCAATTGAACCCCAAACTGGGGTTCTATACCATCTACTACCACAATCCCGATGCAGGTAGATTATGACCACAATACTTTTTTGGTGTCATTTATGGAGGCATTTAATCCCGTGAGATCCCTGGGGGAATTCAACGTCCGTTATTATCTTTGGGATCTGAAGGAACTCCATAAGGCTTCATGGCCCAGAGGATACCAATCTTAGGGTTCACTTGGTCTCGAAATGTCCCGAGGGGTAGGGTGACACCACTCTTTTTCTTGACAGGGGGCCTGCATCAGCCGCCGCCTCGTGTGGGACCAGGGCTCGAGATTTTTCGCAGGGGAAGGGGGGGGGGGGGGGTTCCATGGCCCTACCCGGGAACCAAGTGGACCCCGAAATTCTGGGGCCATGTCTACCTTGAATACTACCTTGCAGTGCAATAATTGCTACTATGGCACAAAACCATGCTCGTCAAGTTCATCTCGTCCCCAAGTTGCGGCCCCAAAGTCCAGAAACAACATGAATCTTAATCCCAATAAGGGAACAACGCGCACCAAAAAGCAAGTCCGACCTAGGTCCTACGAGTAGGTTCATGCTCGGTGCATCACGTGTGAAGAAGAAGGCCAAGAAGCCTCCCCTCGAAAGGTGCGAGTGATAACTGAAAACCCCAAAAGCACGAACCCGAAATAACCTCGTAACCCTAAATGCTACAGAATCCCTGAACACTATAAACCCTATAAAACGCTCTAAACTCTCCATAAACCCGATAAAGCGCTACAAACCCTATAAACCCTGACAGCCTGCCAAGGCCCTCTACCTTGCAGCCCAAGTGGCCGCACATCGTCTACGACAACGACGACCCGCGGCCTTGGTTTAGGGTTTAGGGTTTAGGGTTTAGGGTTTAAGGTTTAGGGTTTAGGGTTTACGGTTTAGGGTTTAGGGTCGTTCAAGAAGGCCGGGTTAGCACAATGGGATTAGGGATGGGTTGGGGTTTCGGGTTTATAGATCCGTTTATGGAGTGTAAATAGGGCTTCGAGTTTAGGGAAAGTTCAGAACAACTACTACATGGGTTTAGGGTTCTGGGCTTAGTCGCTCATGCTCGGAGAAGGCATCGGGTCTAGCAACTCCAGGAAGGGTTCAGGGCTTCTAGGGCAGCCCTGCCAAAACTGGGTTTAGGGTTAGGGTTTAGGGTTTAGGGTTCCTAGGTCCTAGCCTATCCGAGCATGGCTTTGCGGCTATTCGGGGCTCTGATTATCCTGGGGCTAAGCAGGTCTAGCCACTTGGACGATCCCACCGCGTAGAGACTCAGGAAATCATCTAAGGCCGCCTGGCGCACAGGAGCTGAATTTCACTTCAAGTGCCTCTGCACCCTTCCCCGGCCCACCCTGCCACTAGTCAAGGCCTTCTAGGAACAAGAACATGGCCGAAAAGCCCACCCCCTCTTTCCATGGTAGTCCTACTACGCATGTCCGCGCAGTCTTGCCTGCCTCGTTGTGCAGGGCCGTGACTCGATCCGTGTACTGAACTGTCTCGAGGACCACCTTTTGCGATTGTCCTATGTCTTCTGAACTCACCCCAAAGCTGCAAAACACATACTTGAAATGAACTCCCTCTAAGAAATATCTTGCTTGTACTGTACAAGTTGTACACCCAAACGAGGCCACTGAGAATTACAAGAGGCCGTATAGATCGTGGGCAGCCTGGAGGACAGACTCCCCCAAGTGGAAGAAGTCCTCAGAGGATCCGGCGGCGCATGTCCATCTCCCAGGAGTTGTGGGGTTTAGGGTTTAGGGTTTAGGGGTTGCAGGGTCGGGTTGGGGGTTGGGGTTCAGGGTTTTAAGGGGGTTGAAGGGCCTAGGGTAATGTACGAAGAAAAGACTCAAATAATGCCCTCTTGAACCCAAGAAAGGGAAAAACATATATCCCAATGTCCGAACAAGCTTACGTTTTACGATTACTTATATACTATGCGTGCTATGTAGTATACAGAAAATACAAATAAACAAATCAATATATATATATATATATATATGTATTCTTAATTTCAATGTCTGTATTTCAGACCAAGGGTTACATCTTCATATCGTATGGTACATACAATGATGTTACGAGATGCTCTCTATCTTCACTTCTGCATACTGTCGTATCCGACAAGCTGGGGCAAGCTGGCGAAGCTTGAGGCAAGGCTCGAAACCATGAGGGAAGTATGTCTGCCAATGTCCGCCTGGCAAAGATGCAAAGTGCACCCAGCAAGCCGGATACCCCTTGCCTAAGGAACTCCTTCAATCTTATGTAATGAAAGCTCCTAAAGCCCTAAGACCCTCAAAGCTCTAAATCCATTTATTGGCATCTACTCTGCATGGACTAACCAGGATGAAGACCAGGGGGACAAGGAAGTCACACAGCCTTCAGCTACAGCAACCTCCGAATACACATCAACCAAAGCTCAGAATGACTTGAAATTGCTGATCTGATTGATGGAAAATTCCCTGAAGCGCACTGTCAATGACATTCTTCATGTAGCTCGCACAGGCCAACCCGATGCACAAACTTATTGTGAAACATGTTGGCATACAAGAGGGAGCCGAGTAAAAAAGGCCGAGAAAACATCATCCAAAGAACACCGGTAGATGCCCTGGTCGGCATCAACCCGCACAAGCAACCATCTCTATTCAGGCCAAGCCAAGCATACAGGAAGCAACCAAGGAGCATGTTGCCGAATGAAGGACATGGTCGAGTCGTTGCATGAAAATCTGACTGAAGCGAACTTCGGATTGCACACTTACCACATGTGGTCTACGCGTCGCAATCTCCGAGTCACACATCACACTCCATGGACTCCATGGGCAGACACCTACCCCTCGAGGACGTTGAGCATCATGAAAGGCACTGAGGCCCTTCTTCGAGACTTCCATTTTCCTTTCGAAGTATATATGGCCAATAGAATTCCAGGTTCGCAACTGCCACCAGGCCAACGGCAAAACGCAAACGAATATGAAACCTGCCAAAAGCCTAAACCCCCTACCACCCTTCACCCTTTTCCAAAACAGGCAGACTTGGTCCCCCTGCCTCAAGCCTAGGCCTAATCGGTCCTACTACAGTACGAAGGGCTTCCGCGCTTTGAAGTCGGAGTGGTTCGGCTTCAGAAAGTGCCAGTTTCCATGTGGTTGAGCTGGGAACTTGATTAGCTCACAGAGGTGTTTGGCTGTTTTGCCCCCTCTCCGCTATGTGCTTCTGTACTTGCGCTCACACATATGCATGGCCTCCCCCAGAGGTGACCACGAACATCGGGTAGCGCCGCACCCCGAGTCTCTGCAGCACTTCCTGAAAGGGTTTGATCGCTCTCACTCGGTTGGGGCTTTGGGAAGTTTAGGGCTTAGGGTCCCATGCCAAAACTGATTTTTTTTGTGCCCTCTTCTCGTTTGCAGCTTCTGGAATGTCGGAGTGCAATTGTGGAGTCAGGGATGTCTTCAGCACCGCTGGGAGCTCCCTGGGTAGCCGGCCTCTTCGGCCGTGAAGACGTTCAAGTGGGCGAGCCTCACCTTTCAACATCACGACTCAGAGGGCTCCATGCTCAGAACATCTGCAAGGTCAGCAAGATTGCCATAACCCAGAGTGAAACGAGGAGCAGGATCAAGGGCCGGGATTCCCTTTAACATTCGGGTCTAGGGTTTCGACTTGATCTCCCGATGCTGGACTCTGAGCTCCTTGCACGTTCGTCCGCTCCAAGCCAGATTCTAGACCCTTCCTCCCAAACCCTTTTCAACTTGAGGCGGGCCTCGTCCGCGACTTCCATCATCCACTGGCCAAAGTAATGGCGCCTGCAACTTTGACCCCTCCATGCACATGGGTTAGGGCCCTTGGTCCCCCCAGCCCGGACATGCCCGGCGGGGCTCACGGGCCCCTCTCAGGATTTGGGGTTGTTTCGGGTTTGGTTGGCCACCTGCCTCCCTGACCCTAGGGCTTTTTCGGGTTTAGGGCGACGTGTTTGCTGGCTTGGCAGCCATCCCTAATTAGACCATAAGCCACCTGGCATGTCTAAGCTGCCGGCTGATCGGAGTATACATGGATGATGCAGGGCCTGCAGGACGGGGTCCACCGTTCAGGGACCAGGACATAGCAAAGTCAAGTCACAGTTGCAGCTATCACCCATGGGGGAAGGGCTCTAAGCGCTGTGCCCAGGCTTGCTGCCCATGTGTCACTGTGCATCACTGAGGCGTGAGCTCATCCATGTTCAGGATCCTTGTGAGTGTAGCCAGGCTGCTAACCTGCCGTCCCGAAAGCAAAGGAGAAAAAAAAAGATGCAGGCCCTGAAGCATACCTGAGCGTAACTAAGCACACCCGGGGTGCGTTCAGGACGTTCCCATACCTCAACTTTGTCAACTTTACTCGAGTACTCCCCGGAGCCGAGCACAGGGGCCTTGAAAGGGCACAGCGACAGGACAAGAGTTAATGGGCAAGTAAATTGTATACGTTGAAATGTGCCGGGCCCGCAGAACCCTCAACTGGCCGCGCCAAGCCGAAAGTCCTGTGACCTAAACCCTCTGTTCAATCCAGGTTTGCATGGTCCTAAACCTTACATCCAACCCCCCCCCCCCCCCCCCCCCCCGAAAAAAAAAAAAAAAAAACCTAACAAAACGTATCTGGGGAGTCCACTGGCTCACCAGGAGGTTCGAAGCCACCGCGGTCGGCCCCGTCCCACCTTGAGATGCGGTTGAGGGTGTTTTCCGGTTAGGGGAGCCACACCGTAGGAAGCACCTGGGGGAGGGAATGAACCCTCAATTGTAATATATATATATATATATATGTATATATATATATATGTACCACTACCAGTGCAGATCATACCTATTGACAATTGAGTATGTGGACCATGACCCCTTCTATGATTCTAGGCCGGATTTATTTACTTGATCCTCAAGGATACAGGGCTGGATTTTTTCCAGTGAAGCTTCCGCAGCACGAACCAAGATGTCAAGCGGAAGCTTGAAAACCTGTGGCCCACATGAACCTTTGCTACTCTCTAAACACCATCAGAGAACCTTCGCCAACCGGGGAGCCATAAAGAACACATGGTGTCCAAGTGCAAGACTCTTCTCCCGACTCCTCCGAGAAGAAGGCCTGTAGCAGCAGCTCTTTTGCCATGGGAGGGGTGCAGATTGCCCAGGAGTCAAGTCTTTGGCTTCACCCACGGCATGACCTTGTTACTTGCACTACCTGGCAGATTTTCCGGGAAGGTGCACTCCAGAGTCTCGCTTGTCAAGGAACCAAAAGGCGCCTTCTGATTGTCATATCGGCGGCGCTTGTCGGCATCGCCTAAGACCTCACAAAGGAACCACAAAGACCTACCATAGGCTTCGGGCCTATAGGCGCTGGCAGCTTGCCTCAGCGATGGTCCCTTGTGGTGCACCCATTGTACTACTGTCGCCCGTGTTTAGGATACCTTAGAGGAACCATCCTCCTTCAGAGCAGTCCCCTCATCCGTCAGATTCATTTTGTGGTCTTGGCAGCACGGTCGCGCCTCATAGGCTTGTTGCACAGCCTCGCCAGGATCAATGCGTAGCCCTTCTGCTTCGAAGGAACCGAAAGATCGCACCGGACAAGCCAAGGTCTGCATGCTTGCAGTAGCTTTTGGTGAAGATGCGACAGGATGGCCTCCTGCCTGAAACCTATGGGGAGCATTCTGATCATTCTGAGGGTGGCACGATGAATTCTCCTGAGGCAGACTGAAAGCTCTTTCGCACATGTTCATCACCGGCCCCGGGCCGTGGGACATCTTCTTAGGGCTTCTGCGGGCTGGTCACAGCCGAACCAATCATAAGTTCTCAAAGCAGCACTGGTCCCAAGTCGCCTAGTTCCTTGGCACCGCCAACAAGGCCTACAACCCTAGCAAGAGAGAATTCAGATCTAATCGGGGTGTGGGATGGATCTAAATCATAGGCGGCCTCTTTCTGATATTATGTGTGTGTGTGTGTCAAGAACTGTCTTCAATGCGCCCCAAGCTTCGTTGTGCGACTTCCATCTGGTCAGGATTCTTGTCTGGGTGCCACCTGACAATGACGATGGTGGGGGGTGGTTCATGGCAACTACCTACCGCCAAGAAAAGGCCGCTTCTAGGACTCCCATGTAGAGAAAATCCGGGTGCAGAAGACCATGGCAGAGGTTGGATCAGTTTGGGCATTCTTCTTGATGACGGTCCTACGGGGATCCTACCGGGGTCTACTTGCCCACTTGCCAGCACAACTGCCATCTGCTCTTCAGGCCCCCACTTCAAAGCAAGCTTTTTGTAGGCTCGCTTGATGTCGGCTTCTGAGGCATCCTGGGGCCACTTCGGCAGGATCATCGGTACATCCCCAAAAGGAGCCCTCACTTCTGGGGGTTCTTTTTGCAGCTTTTGGGGCCCCGGGTTCGGAGTTTAAACCCTACGAACCTGAAACCGCCGCCACAAAAGGTCTGAGCTGTGAACCTGACAGTTACCTCTCATCCATGCGGACGCGACCCAATCGGTTTAATCCCTCCGCAGAATCCCTGCCTGGGCAACGCCGAGGACCTGGTAGTAGTCCTGGCCACCACACTTGGTGTTAGTTTTGCCAACGGTAACCAAGACTCTTCCGTGCGGAGTGGCTCCATGAGGAGGCGTGTGGCAAAAACCGAACTTGGTTCAGCCCTCAGTGTTTTCGGGATTTAGATGGATTTAGGATGTTGAGGTTGAGAGGCCTCAAAACCTACCCTTGTGAAGACCAAGCGAACCCTGAAGTTCGATCGTGTACCCCATGCTACTAGGAATCCCGTTAAGGCAAAGACAAAGTATGAGGGCATCTTTTGCATCCAAGGCCTCCTACAGTTCGAAGACAACTTTATGAACCAAAGGTCCTAACATCTTGTTATAAAGGTATGTGAAGCGTAGTAGATCTAGTATTTGCGTAAGGAGTTCCAAAAAACCCTGACGTTCGTTACAGTTGCAACAAGCTAGCTTCTTTCTCTAGGGTTCCTGAATTCTTTGGCAACTTGTGGGAGCCAGCCCCAGCATGTTTTTCTCGTGACAGCTGCTCGAAATCACCAAGGATCCCTTTTCGGGTTCAGGAGGTCTCCCAGAAAGGACAGGGTTTAGGGTTTAGGGTTCGGGGTGTAGGTAGGGCTCTACGATCTAGGTAGGGTCACGGGTTGAGCATTGAAGAAGGCGTGCGCCCCGAAAATCCCAAAGCAGTTACTGCACAGGTCTTTCGTCCACTGGGCTGCTCCAAACATGGGGACTAAATGAACCCAGAAGGGTTTTGTGGTGAGCTTTCCTTTCTAGGGAGCTGTTTTGTCGTAGTTTTAGTTTTGCAGGTAGACCTCTCTTGTCGTAGTCAAGCAAGTGATACATGATCGCAAATTTAGGGTTCACCAGCGATCCTTCTCCTTCTGCGACCCCGCACCCGCCAGTGGCACTAGCGCCTCGGGGGGAATGCACAGTCTGTAGGGCTTTGCATGAACTAGGGCGAACACCAAAGCTAAGCCCGTACCCCTTTGCATAAGCCAAACCGTACTTAAAAAAATCTATGTACCAGAAACATTTGGGGTTTCTGGATGAAGACAAGCAATGGCAATGGCCTCGTCTCATTCCTGCGTTGTCTGATGTGAGTCTGAGCTTCTGTGTACCCTAAAAGTAGGCTCCCATACTCCTATGTAATTCGCCTAGAAATGAGCTATATGTTCCTTTAAACCGTCTTTTCTGCCTATGCCGTCTCCCAAGAAATCTCCCCCTGAGGGATCCACCACCACGGTGAGGGCCAAGCGGAGCAGCCAGTTCTTCATGGCCCTTGGTGGTGGAAACTCATCAAGCGCTTTAGAGGATTCTTGGGCAATCTCTAAACATGACAAGGTTTTGGGTTCTTAAGGCGGATTGTGAAGTCGATCTATGCTGGGAGCGCAAGGTTGTCACAGCTTCTTTACAGGGGCCATCAAGGGTTGACATTGGGGTCCGATGACAGGAGCAGGGTGATCAGGATCGGCTTTCACTGGATGAGGCTATTCAGGGACGAACATCCGCAAGTTGCAGTGAGTCGTGCTGCAAGGTGCGAGTGGTGTAGCTTAGTCAGCTGAAGAGTGGGCAAACTCAGGTGGTGCTGCTTGAGTTGCGGGCGGCTAAATGGTCGCAGCTGCGTGCCATCAGCGACTGATATGGGCAGCTGCCCTATGGACTGTTTGACTTGCTCCAAGCATCAGAGTGAAGGGCTTATCAGATGTAGGCGGTGTGGATTCAGGCCCGGGTCTCATGCTCCCAGACTGTTGTCGACTACTGCCGCATCGGCATATGTTGCACCAGTGGATACGATAGCCTGCTGCTTCCAATTTCTGTGGGATATTTGCACAGCACGTGTCGAGCACGCCTCGTTTCGCCTCATGATGCCCCATGATGCAGGCACATGCAAGCGATGTCAGCTTGAGATCGGTAGCCAATCAATATCGCGGAGCATTTGTGGTAGGCCATGGTGAGAGATTATCAGTATACACACGTAACTACTACCCAAAAAAACCCTCATCTTATGAAGACTACAACATCAGTGGCACGCACATTTTCTTTGGTCCATGACTTCAGCTATCCATCAGCAGCGGCTCCCACGTCGATGCGAGCCGCAGCGACGTCGCGCGGAAACGCCGCCTTGCGAGCTGGACTGGAAACCCAAAATTATGGTCCGTATATCTTGACCCTTAATAACCTTATTTGGGAGATTATAGCTATGGTTGTATACAGGGTGCATGACCCCAACGGAAAAAACGCATTTTGTGTCGAGCGGCGCAATCTCAAGCTGCAGCCAGTTGTGCAAAGCCGCCTGCAAAGGTCTTCGTCAGGTACGGCTCTTGCTGGGGGATCACATGCGTCAGAATCCTATACTCTATGCTGGCGAACCCTCGTTCCAGGTATATGGGCCGGAAACCCTTTCAACAGTTTCTAAGTTCGCCCCGCATGATGTTCTTCCCGTTTCAGGAGCACTTGCGATTGGCCTGGTACATGACCAAAGCATCCCCTTTACAGCAACGCAAGGCCCGCCTTCTCGGCCCAGAACCTCGAATGAAATGTGTCGAACGACACTTGAGCACGATGCAAGATGCAACTGGTGCAGCTGCCTTTTTCCCAGCACCCACGTGCGTGTGCGCGCCATGTATGGCGCTTTAGAGATGTTGAGAGCAATGAAGGCTGGCAGCCTCCAAGTAAGGACTGCCAAACCTAGTGCCTTCAGACCTGTACAAGAAGACGTTTGCGAATCGAAAGGATTGGCTGATGAGCTGCAGGGCAAAACGCCTCGCAAGCAGACACACCAGGACGATGATAACTCTGTCGACGCTGCCACAACGGGCCAGGAGTCCAGCCCACTATTGAGTGCCAAACACCGAATCCGCGTCGTCGCCACAACGGGCTCTACAATTTGCACAAAGCCGCTCGCGCGCAAAATGCGTCACGGAATGCGGACTCTCACTCGCCCTAGTCTCTGCGCATCAGCAAGGCTCAGCAAAGCTCGAGGTCTCGCTGCTTGAAAGCAGCGCTGCCACCGCCGGAATGTTCTTGGCCAGCGTCTCAGCATCAACCTCAGGGCGTTGAAGCAGAGTCTTGGCCACGTAGAAGCCGTAGCGAGCTTGCGCCAGTTCAGCCACCAGACTGGGGTGCGTGAGCTGCTGCAGCAAAGCTTGTTGGTCCTTCTCCAGGCAGTGAGACAGCGCGGACTCGACGACATAACTGGCACTGCGATGAGAAGCATTCCCAAGAAGGTCGTGACGAAGGACCTCTGCAATGAGCTCCTTGTACCTCGCATCTCCGTGCTCCAGTACGGACTGGACCACGTGATGGCCAAAGTTGTGGCGGCAGAGGTCCAAGGCCTCAGAAGGATCCTCCAGCACTTCGTCGATAAGCTTCAGGGTTCCCTCTTGAGAAGAGCAATGCTCCAGAAGGCGGCACATGATTCGGCAGCCGAAGCGATGCCGGGCGAAGCGGGCAGCGTTGCCGAGAAGCTCTTCCCCAATGAACGACGAGGTAGCCGGGCTGAGCTGCGTGATGACCTTCTGGATGACGTAGTTGGCATGAGGCGAGACGGCTGCTTCCCGCACATGTCCATGGAGTTCAGCCGCCAAGTCCTTGGCAGCACCATTACTGGCCTTCTCCATGGCCATCTGCACCACGCGGCATCCATTGGCGTCGCGGGACAAAGGCCAAACCTTGCCAGAGATCTCGGACATGACCAAGGACAGCCCATCACCCCCAGCCTGCAACTGCTGGCGAAGTTCATCACAGCGCTCTTTTGACAGCACGGCATCCTCTACACCACGGGCAGAGCTGGGAATCATCCCGGGCGCCTTGGGCTGTGGGGTCCGCATGCGCCGGCGTCGGCGTTGCCCACAGTTCTCCTCATCCTCCATGACCCCTCCGCATTCGTATCCAGTGGCCATGTCAGGGTAAGAGTCGTAGCCGCTGTTGAACTTCTCCATGGGCCCCATATGCGGGGAGCTCATGTGGGGGGAACTTGGAGCAAATGTCCACCCGTTGTAGTTCGGGCTGGTGGCCACTGGCACCGCCTGAGCTTGTCCCAGTACCTGTCCCTGCATGACAGGTCCGGATGCGTTGACGACGACGGGCACCAACATTGTCACGTAAGGTTGCAGTGCCTGCATGACAGGCTGGCTGGATGAAAGCTCCTGTGCCACAAAGGGCTGGTTGGGCTCTGCAACGGCAATGACTTCACACGCCATGCTGCCTTCTGGGCTGCTGAAGCGAGAGGAAGCGAGTGAGATAGAGCGAGCACGCTTTGCGATGATTGAATTGCGCTATGGCTTGAGCCATCATGGCAAACAAGCGATCCTGCTACTTGAGGCCTTTCAGCCTCCCTAAACCCTAAACCCTCAACCCTAAACCCTAACCCATGCCTCCCTGTTGCACTCCAAGATCAGCAAAGCCACGCATCAAGCTCTCGCGACATGGTGATGACCCGAGCGGAGGCGTACCTCAGCTGATGCTTCGGTTCGGCAGCGCGAACTTGGTTTGCTGTTCAGACACGAAGTCATCATCAAAAGTTTATATACTTACATCGTCATACATATATGCATATAAGAGATACGAAGCACATGAGCTTGCTACATAGTGAGGAAACTTAGACCTGTTTCCGTGTGACAGAAACTTGATAACAGTTTATCATAACTTCCAATTCCTGCGTTAGGGCCGAGATGCCACTCCTCAGTGTATTTGGCCTCCTCCACACTGTGGGCATGCTGGCTCGCCTCACACAAGAGTGGACCCTGAAGGCTAGGAGGTTGGGAGTGTAATCCCCCCCCCCCCCCAACCCACAATCCCCCCTGCTTCGAAAACCACATCGACAGCAACACGTATCTAGGGTCAAGGCAAAGGCTACACATGCTCACAAGTGTCCCTGTCTCGCATCCAAGAACCGAGCCAGATCTTCCAATTTGGTGCTTTTGTCCTGCGCTCTCAGCACATGGGCAGTTCTTTACATTGGGGTCCCTCTGTGAGTTCCTGACGATCGAGGTATCCCCTAAAGGCGATGCTTGTCAGGAGACCTGCATGCACGCATGGTGCACAAAGCCAGGTTCAATCCAGGGCATGCAACGGCAATGCCTCTGCGCACAACAGCCGAACCCAAACCACAAATGTGCGGCGCATACTGCGGGTCCCTCTTTCCGAAGAGCTTCCCCAGCGCTGAGGGCTCCCCCGGATCTGAGCATGGGACTGAGGATTCTCTGTTCGACGTGCTAGGTTCTTTTGTTCTCAGCCTCTGAATGTTCGGGTTTGTATGGAGCACTAAAGCACCTGCTCTTGTGTGCACTAGCCACTCGGCAGTTCTCCTCTGAGTCCGTCGCCTGTGCGGCTATTCAGGCGCTTCCGTTCAACCTTCCAAAGGCTGTGGGGCTGCTGCTGAACGACAGTCTGTAGTACTGCTGTACTCGACTATGATGACAGTTATATACTGCGAATATACAAAGAGTATATTATTCTTTGACTATAATCAGGGGTTCATGCTATATGCTAATTTGTATGCCAGATAGTTGCATGAATCGTCGACTGACTGGTGTGTCTGCGGCAAGATGGCACAGCCCATCGCCTCGACGGCGGCTATTTTTTGCTGGGCATCCACAAGCCTGCTTTGGCAGACTCGAGACTGAAGGTCATGACACCATGAAGTAAGTGTGCAGAATCTTCAGCTGCTCAAACTGCATGGTCAATATTGCATCACCAAGCATCCGGAACCCAGCAAGGGCATTGCACTCTCAGAGTCTGAGCCCCTATGGCACCCCCTGGCTTGTTTGGGCAAGTTGCCAGAACGGAAAGGCATTCGGCACATGTCATGGGAACTCTAGCAACGCAGATCAATCTAACCCCCCCCCCCCCTCATCCCCAAAACCCTGACCTCCGCTTCTGAAGAACATCCGAAAACCAAGCCCTGGGCGTGCAAGCAAAGGCGCCTTTGGTGCAATGCCCCCAAGCCAAGAAGCGCCTCCTCCAACTTCCGCCGATATGTTACAGATATGTTTGTTACATTTTCGTATCATATATATGTATATATGTATATATGTATATATGTATATATGTATATATGTATATATGTATATATGTATATATGTATATATGTATATATGTATATATGTATATATGTACATATGTACATATATATATATATATATCCGCCGACCCCAGCAACAGCGGGGCGGCGTCAGTGAAGACCCTCCCTGCCCTCACCGCAACCTCTTCCCCCTTCCCCTTCCCAACCATTCCACTCCACCTCTCCACTTGGCCTTGCCTTCCGCCCCTAACCTCCCACCACCAACCCCTTCCCCTGCCCCCCCTCCCACTACCCTTCCCCTTCCCAACCATTCCACTCCATCCTCCTCCCCTACCCCCCCCCGCCTCCCCACCACCCTTCCCCTTCCCAACCATTCCACTCCACCCCCATCCCGCTCCCCTCCCCCTTGCTCCCGCCCCCGGACCGCTCCCCTTCCCCATCTCTGTCCCTCCTCTCACCCCACTTGCCAACCGGTCGGCACTCCGCCCTCCCCTACCCCCCCTCTCCAGCCCTGCTTCCACCCCCCAACTCCCCAATCCCCCCACCCTCCCCCCACCCACCCCACCCCCCCAACCCCCCCCCCCCCCCCCCAACCCCCCCCCCCCCCCCCCCAACCCCCCCCCCCCCCCCCCCCCCCCAATGCCCAGTGGCTCCATCTGGTTTTAACGGGTTTCTGGCAGACCCGATCAGCTGACTGACTTTACCCTTCCCAACCATTCCCTCCACCCCCATCCCGCTCCCCTCCCCCGCCGGCCGCTCCCCTTCCCATCTCTGTCCCCCCTCTCACGCTTTCACCCACTTCCCACCCGCTCCGCACTCCGCCCTCCCCCACCCCCCCCCCCCCCCAACCCCCTTTGCCAGGCCTACCCTTTCCCGACTGGCCGGTTGCGTGAAAGACTTTGGGCTACCCGGTGGAAACCCCGTTTTTGAAACCTTGAGGGACAGTAACGAAAACAGGTACAACAAGCCAAAACCGCATCGAACATGCACAACAGGTTGAACCTGAGGGAGCAATCAGAAATGTGCACAGTGGCGCCTCAAAACTCTTTAGAAATCATCTCGAAACCAGCGATATTATAAGGAGAGGAAGTCTTGGCTTTAGGTTCAACGTATAGAGTGGCGCCTCAAAACACTTTCGTAGTCATCTTGAAAGCAACATACAAGGACACTAAGGGTTGGCTTTCGGCTATTTTAAGGGTTTAGGGGTTAGGATTTAGGGTTCAGGGTTCAAAAAGTAGGGCTAAACCATAGGGAAAAAGCGACCGGATGAAATTCAGCCCGTTGTGAAAAAAAAACAGCTCATATCGTCTACACAGTATGAATTTCAAATGCCCTGTTTCGCAACTGCAATTCTGAGATGACATGGAACTGGGTAGCTTGCACACAGCCAGCCTCGTTGTTTTCGCAATCTTTGCAAGCTGTGCACGCGAGGCTACCCCTGAAAAGTTGTTGCAGAGTGCAGTCCGCGCAATACAGGGCCACAACACACGTGTGAGGCTCAGCTGTTAAGTAAGAAGCAATGGAAACACATGACATTTCTTGGCACAGGGACTGTCACTGTCACTGCCACTCTCTACCCAAAGCACGCGCTGAAGCGGCCACAGGTTCCTAGTCGTTGCTGCGTCTGTGCGGGTATGCGACCCCATTTCAGCACAAACACAGACAGCAGCATCATGGTTCGGAGTTGAAACGTTCCCGTGGACACTGCCTAAAGCACATGCGACCCCATGAAACTTGCGGAAGACATCACAGCGGCTCAAGGAGTTCAAGAACTTTCTGCATGCTGTCAACGTTCTTCTTGGCCTCACTGAACAACCCAATGAGAGTCTCATAGTTGCTGCTAGACTCTTCACTGCGAGTCAAGGTCGACACCCTCAGGCCATAAATGAGAACCCCCTTCATGGACTGCTCGGCTACAATCCAACCAGCCGGTACCCACACAGCTTCATGAGCCTCCTGCACTGTGTAGTACGCCTTCAGGCCGGCACTCTTGCATTGCTTGAGCTTCTCCCCATCAAGGCTCCCCACAAGCTTTGGCAAATCCGCATAGCTGATTTTGTCAACTTGCAAGACGGCTCGCAAAGCAGCAAGCAAAGAGACGGTCTCCATGGCAATGACTTTGACAGAGCCCTGCGCCAAAATCTTGAACATGGGGAACCCGAGGGGGCAGGCTGACACGTTAGTTAACGCTGGGTCATATCCATACAGCCATGGTGTCTCCAAGACCTTGCTGAACGCATTCTCCTCTGTCACGCGGTGCCTCTCAGGCACGGCCTGCAAGAAACCTTTGATGCACTCGAGGCTCTCTTCTTTTCCCTCACGATTGTACAGTGGTGTTTGAGATTTGCCCTCGGAGTTGTAGCTGTCAGCCTTCTTGTACTTGCCTCCAAAGGTGCCCAGGGCAAGCTGTAGTTTGGGTAGCTTCGCCCACTCCTGCACAGCTTGAATGTTCTTGAAGAGAACGGGCCTGTCCATCGGAATCTCTTTGACACTGCCATCATGCACTGGGAACTTCAAGACGGAGCTGTCATTCTCCATCTGGGCCAAATCAACCAAGAACAACGCCGGCGTGGACTTCTCCTCCTGCTTCACCTGCTGGGCTGCGGCTTTTGCCACAGCCTTTACACGAGAAACCTCTCTGTTCTCCTCGTCCTTCTTTTGCTTTGTGGCATCTCGCTCCTGCTTCTTCTTCAAGTTCTTGATGTGGCCCAGGAAGTTGTTGGCCGCCTTTGTCAAGGAAGCTGCAAGCAAACGAGTTTGCTCTGCACTCTTTTTGAAAGCGTCAACCCTTTCATCCAGCTCTTCCATTGCGCTCGCTGCCAGTGTGCTCTCTGTCAACTCGCTCATGTGCAAAGACGCCTTCAGCTTCTCAGGAAGTTGGACCACAAGCCCATCTTTCCCAGCAGACTTCAATGCACCCAGCATCTTCTCAGTGATCTGCTCACCCAAGGGCTTTTTAGAACCTTTGGGCTTTGAAGCACTACCAGCTTGCGAAGAGCCTGAGGACACCTCCGTTGGCTTGGCCTGAGCTTCTGTCTCAATCTTGTCCTTCTTGTCCGACTTGTCCACCTCTGGAGTCTTCAAGGCTTCAGGCGACGCGTCGTTGGCTTGACTGCCTGCAGTCTTTGGAGTCCCAGGGGCTGGGGCTGATGCTGCGGCCGACGTTGCTGGGGCGGAGGTGAAACATTCCCGAGGTATCGTGCTCAATGCAATCTCAGCTGTGCGCAGATCATCACACATCCAGATCGAAGCAATCGCCCTTCGAAGCTGAAGCGTTCTCTTGTACGCGGCAAGCTCTGGGTCAGCAGCTAAGTCCTGGGCGCCAAGTCCCTTCGCGATTGTTTCTGCCTCCTTCTCATTGGCCTCCACCTTCTGCAGGGCTGTCGTCATGACCCTCGTAAGCGCAGGCATATCCTTGTTCTTCAGCTTGCCATACTGCTTGGGTGCTTGGTCTGACACTGAGCTGAAACGCTGCTTTTTTGGCAGCGCCTCTGCAGCAGCTGCTGGCTCTTTCTCCTCTTCTTCCTCAGTCTGATTTGACTGAGAGCCACCCACGACCTGCCGCATGAATGCACTTGTGTGACTAGCATTGGACTTCAGGCAAACATTCAGCAAGTCGTCTTTGTCAGCTTTCTCAAAGTTCTTCAGCTGCTTTCCACTCTCCTCGACATGGGCGTCGCTGTAGTGAACGACATCTCGCATCCTCTCACGCAGCCTTGGCAACCAAAGCTTCAGGAAAGCGCCCTCGCCCTCACGGTCATACTTCCCACTCTTGGCCAACTCCTCAAACTCCTTGTCGCTCTCCTGGCGGGTCTTGCCACGAGGCTTTGCTCGTTCCGCGAAGTAGTCATCGATGTCCATCTCAACCTCGCCCTGTCTCACAGTGTACTTGTTCTGAACACCTGTAGCTCTCTTGAAGGCAGCCCAGTCGATGATTTTCTTCCTGCTGGCGCCCGCAGGATTCTCTCGAAGAAACTCTTCGATCGCAATCCTTGCTTTGCCAGCATCTGACATGACTTGGTTGAACGCGCTCGTCTCCTCCAAGCAAAGATCTCACATTCTTGGCACGCACACACACACACACACATCAATGCTGACCACTTCTTTCTGGCAGTCACAAAAACACACTTGTCTATGGCGGGGCCTTGGCACTGACAGCCTGGTATTTCATGGCTTCCATGGCACGGTGGTGTGGACGGCAAAAGCGGGAGTTGTTCAATTTGGTCTCTGGGCAAATGAAGCACAGCCTTTTGAGCTGCTTTGCCGAAAGTGGGGCGCCCTCCGCCACCTCCGCTGCCTCAGCCCGCTTTCTCTTTCCACTGCCTTTCCGCGGCCTGGCCTCAGGTTTGGGCATAGGCGCCAACGCAGCTTGCTCTGCCGCAAGCGCCTCGTCCAGCTCTGCCTCAAAGTCAACCTCACCCCCCATGTCTGCGAGCAGCGCGCGGAACTGCGGAGCAAATTGGGTCGGTAAGCAAACACGTTGACAGCAAAACACTGAGCAACTGCTGCTGTGGAAACTTGTGATTGGAAACTTGCAACAGGTAAAAACAAAGTGCTCATCCATGCTCAGGCTGTGGTGCCTAGCGACTCTTCAGAACACTGGTATCCTGCAGCTAAGATAGATGTTTCTGTTGCGCTGGAAACTGGGACGCCTTCCTGGCTGACATGAGCATTTGACGCATTCCGGCACAGATCACAAGCACATGCCCAAAACTGAAACTGACAACGAGTCAACACACAGCATCTCCCGGGCTGTCTCATCATGCTTTCGCACTTTTCCGAACAAAAGCCTTCCAGTCCCTCCTCTGTGAGCAAAAATTGCACCAGCCAACTTGAATCGACTCGAGCGTGAAAGCAGGAGGGCTCCCTAGAGTCTACACTCGGCCAAGATTTCATAACATTCATGGCCCAGCTGCTGCCACACAGCATGTACATTCTTTAAGCTACGCATTACCTGCTGGTCAACTACACTCGCGACTGGCCCCAATCAATGATGACCGGTCGATGAAAAATGAAGTCCATTGCGCTTCTTATAGAGGTTTACGGTTTACGTTCAAGGAACTTGTCAATGGCAATCCTGGCGCTGCTGGCGTCCGACATGAGCTGGTTAAAGGAATCCATTTCCTGACAACAATTTTTTCACAGGCCAAAGGCTCCGGATATCAGCGAACACAAAAGCACGCACGCACAAGTTTGCATGCCAGGTGTATTGCGGGTCCTCGGCCCTCATGGCCTGATGCTTCATAGCTTGCACGGCACGGTGGTGAGGGACGCAGAAGCAAGAGCTGTGCATCCTGGCGTCTGGGCAAACGAAGCAAAGCATTTTGCGCCGCTGCTTCGCTGAAGGCACCATCTCTGAGCCTTCCACCTGCCTCCTCTTTCCAGCACCCTTCGAGCCACCCGGGCTTGGATCAACCAGCTCCCACTCCTCCTCACCCACGTCACCCATGTCTGTGAGCAGCACGCGGCAACGATCAGGCTGGCAAGACGTCACAGCACAACAGCAACACAGATACATGCAGACACCCTGATGGCATTTCATCTTACAGACTCTTACATCCTGCAGCTGTAGCTCTGGCCCTGGTTCTCATGGACTGATCGTTGCTGCGTCGAGTGTTGCAGGCACAATTACACGCCACAAACTGAACATGCCTAAGAAGTCAAAACAGCACCCTGGCAGTTTCATCGCACCAACGCATTTTTCAGGCAACAAGCTTTCATTCTATACCTTGGCGGAGGAGCCAACATGCAGCCGCTGTAGAGCAGATCCTATGAACTACCTGCAGCATGTGCCTTTGTTTCTAGCGAGCTACATCTCCAGGTCCTCCACGTCCTCAGGATCTGTACTGACACAAACTGGCCGCAGAGGCATCTGGTTCGCACGCACGCAGTGCCCCAGCACATACATCATCCAAGCGCATTGGGTGACCAGGTGCATGCCATTTCCAATCAGCTTCTTGATATGTTCAGGCTTCTGGGGAAGAATCGACAGCAACGGAGAAACACCAAAATCACTCCCGAGCTCCGGGTACATGAAAAACCCCACAGCACACATGTGCTCTTTGGCCAACATCAAACGCCACGAATCAGGATCGAAGCCACGCACAGCCATGACAGACCCATGTCTTAAGCAAACCGGGAAGTCACTACCACCAGAAGACCCCTTAGTGTGGGATGGTGGTCTGCGTCAAAGAGGAAGGTGCCTCCCAAGGACTGAAGGCTTTGCTCGCGTCCTGCTTGGACCCATTCATGAAAGCGCTGCACACCACCTGGAGGAAGCATTGCTCGCAACAGCTCTGCCTTTGACAACGTCTGCACGCTTTGGTGGTCAAGGAACTGCCCATGCTTCTTTGCCAACAAGCAATACTCTCGCTGCACGTCCTCTGGCGGGGCCACGCAAAACAGATCACCTGAAGTGGCGACAGCCCTGTGAAATCGTTGTGCAAAGTCCTCTTGAATCTTGGCAGGCGAATCTGGGCCCAACCAAAGAATGCTGGCACGATTCAAAGCCGCCCCCAGTACACGCATGCGTCGATGCGGCCAACCAAACAACTCAGGCCCAGACTTTAGCCACACACATGCGTGAGTGTCTGACAGGGGTGCTTTGAACACTCTCTCGATTGGATAGTGCGGCGTGCACTCAACAAAGGCAATGTCTTCTTGCAATCGTTGTGCTCTCACAGCTCTTTCCTGCAGCCAAATGGCATGAGCCACCTCGCAATCACTGGCATCTCGCTTCTGTGAGCCCTCAGCTGTCCATGGCAAGCAAGACACACCTGCGCAGTTGACCATCAGCCGACGGTCATTGGTGCGCGCAGCTTCACCGGCACAAGCGGGTTGTGGCAGAAGAGGATGGGCAGGGCACATGCGCTTATGAGTCAGACACCATGAGGTGGCATCGTCAGGGAAAAGCCACTCTCGATTCTCCGCAATCCAGTTCCTGATGCAGGCGTAGGCTGCACGCTGATCCTCAATGCCTGCCTGGCTTGACGGCAAGGCTTCAGCAATCCAGTCTTGAGCAACTCTAGGCAAGCGATCTTTGAGATCTGCAAAGACGCAGCCACCACTGCCCTCAGCAAGGTTACACAAAACCTGCTGAGCTAAGGAGTCTTTGTCGCAACTTCTGGCAAACAGCACAGGGCTTGGGGGTAGCTCCCAGCCATGCTGCTGACTCACTGCTTGCAAGCCCAAACGCAAAGCTTCCCTGGGACAGTCTATGCCACTGTAATCTGTATAAAGCGACACGCCACGTGTGAAGTGCGTCCTCAGCCGCAACAAGACTTCTGCGTCGTTTTCGCAACTGCTGGTCAGTGACTGCATGACTTCTGAAGGCCACCGCGCCAAGTCATCTGTGGATCGAGGACCCGGAAGCAGGTGTTGGGCGGCTTCAAGTTTCCGCTCTGACCACTGCTGGCGGGTGCGTTTCCTACCTCCACCGCTCATCACTCTCCTCTGGCTGCTGCAAAGCGCAGTCAAAACATTCTTAAGTCTAAGTGCTACTTAGCTGCGCCTTTCACAGGTTACCAAGCTGAAGCATCTGTTCCGCTGAACTGTGCACTTGCCGCCTGCTGGAAAGGTGAGGTGGGCTATCGTTTTGACTGAGCAGGCATGTGAGCGCAATCTCCATCATGACATGCGCTTGAGAAGCGCATCCAGGGTCGGATCAAGGTCTCCAACTCCAACCTCTGGTCTTTGCTTGCTCTCTCTCTCTCTCTCTCTCTCTCTCTCTCTCTCTCTCTCTCTCTTGTCTTTTGTGACTTGTTCGACTGCCAGTGACTGAATGACTGCTTGATAACAACATCCGCTGGCACAACCGCCTGGGCGCAGCAATGAACACCCTCGCAACACTTGTCGTTATAGAGCCAGTCTCCCAAAAGCAGAAGCACATGGTCCAAGTTGCTTGGGCCCTCATGACAAGGTGCGGGCACGGGCACAGGGAAGGGCCGAAGCATACTTTCACAAGCTGCAGGATCCTGCATATCTTTGAGAGCCGCCCTTACCCTTTGACCTGGGACTCTGATGAATCACTTCCCATTCTTTCGCAAGGCCAAGGCCGAGGGGCGGAGCCCGTACCTGCTTGCAGAACGCAACTGGATGTCTTAAACACGACACAGTTAGGATATGTCACTGTGCCACTGCAGTGTTGTTTCTCCACAAATCGAGAGCCTGCCTCTCAAGCTCACCCCCCCTTGGTTGCCCTTTGTAATGCTTGAGCTACCAGGCCACTCGAACCCCAGGTGGCCAACACAGCTCTTCAAGCTTCAGTCTGAAGAAACATATGCTCTGTCCACTGCTTCCATCTGCATCTATATGTTAAGGTAGCTTCTGATTGCGTCTCTCTTCTTTTCACAAAGGGAACATGTCTCTCTGAAGATACACTGGCTAATTGCCTCCGCTAGCAGGCTGGCAAGCAACAAGGCGCCCCGAACCTTAGGGGATTTGGGCTGCAGTGGCCACTGCGGGGCGCCACCGCCGCATGAATTGCAAGGAATGGCTTTCAAGATGGAAATTCGTCAGAATTGCCTTAAAAATCCCGAAATCTGACATTTCGCACGTTTTTGCTGTGTCTCAGCTGAAAATGGCTGAAAAATGCTGTTTTTGCATCGTTTGAGCATGTTTTCAACAAAACATGAGCAAGTCAAGCGTTTTCAACCAAAAAACAGCAAATCCTACCAAATTGGGCCTCAGGGGGGGGAGGGGGGCCCTGGACGTGCTTTGGGCCAGGCCTGGGCCAGCGCCTTTCCGGTGAATTCCGGTGAATTCCGGTGGTTCCGGTGGACCCCCTGTTTTTGCTTTGAAACCAAACAAAAGGCTCCCGTTTCCGGTGGAAATGCCCCTCCCGAGACAGGTCCGCGCCACCTGAAAAAACGCTACAGCAACCGTCTTTCCGGTGAGATGAGCAGCTTCCCATGTTCCACGTGCAATCTGGCTCCTGCTACGTGATTGACACGGTGCACCGCTCAATTTTCGGAGCCCTGGACTGTGAGCCCCTGAAATCCAGGGCCCTGGCTGGGTCCTCAGGCTGAGCCCAAATATCCAAAACAGCTTCGTTTGAAGAGAAATCAAGCAAAACTATCCAGTTTGACACAAAACAGCTTGATTTCTTAAGAAATGGTTCAAAATCAACAAATTTCACTCATTCCTGCTAAAATCGTGCTGCTCCACCAATAACCTCTGATTCAGCAACAAAAATTCAAAAAACGGTGGAAACTGCGCTGAAACGGCACACCTCCTAAACATCTGAGCTGCCAAGGTCCGCCAAGGCTTCTTCCAACACACTGCACCCCGCCGCCGCTTGCATCAACAGAGCACCCAAATCAAAGTGACAGTTCTGACACAGCTCGCAAGCCGGCCCTCCCAAATCAGTACCAGGGCACTACGGTACAATGTTCTCTTAAGCAGTAACCCCCCAAACGCCACCCTGCCCAGGCTCTAGAAGAAAACCTGGTCAACCCTGGCCAATCAGTCAGCAGCTCTTGCACCATCTGCCCATTTTCATTTACACCTAAACAACTGCTAATTATAACTAGAGAAGCTACACTTATTACTGGTTATAACTTTAGAAAAGGTGCTTCTAACTTCTAACCCTGCTTATAACTACCCATGTACCACCAAGTGTATACTGCCTGACAGCTGACACGCTTGCTCGCTCTCTTTCAAGCCCATCGTCCGAGAATGGCTGCCTCTGAGAAGGACCTAATGGACTTCACTTCAGCTTGGGGTTTCGAGCTCAAGCCGGTAAGGGTTAAGGCATACATAATTTTTGTAGGGCCTGGTCCAGGATTTGGCGGAAGTTCTCACAAGAGCTGCCAGCTGCCATTCTCCTACAGCTTCAGCCATCTGACCGAAACTCAACCCCTAAACCCTAACATGCTTAATAGTTTGGGAAAAGCTTATAAGCCTAAATGGAGTAAGCTAAAACCCTACCCTAGAAACCCTAACCCTACGCCCTGAGCGCTAAACCTGACAAGCCAACCTAAACCAACTTAACCCCCTCTCACGCAAAGCACCCACTGGCAATGTCCGCCACATCTCCAAATGTAACCTTCAGGCGCTGGCAGGTTCGGGCCTATGTAGCCCCAGCGGCGTGCATCTGCATAGAAGTGTGGCACACCATACTCAGAGCCGGAAGTGAATCGCTGCCTTTCTCTTTGCTGCGTTGTCGTAATTGGCAACGCCCCACGATTGGCCAAGTCCTGCATATGAGCATGAACCTGCGGCGGCACTCCCTTCCCTGCAGCTCCAAGCGAGGAAGAGCTTGTAGCACCTCTGTTGGGGGGGACAGAAGCTGCTTTAGGTTTGGAAGACGCTGAGGCCTCCTTAACAGAGTTGTAGTCATCCCAGCTGTCAACGCAAGCCGCGTCCAAGGTAGCCTCATCAGGAAGACCAGTCTCATCTCGCATGACCAGAATGTTTTTCCACACATCCCCCATATGCTTCTCACGCGTTGGAACTGATGCCCCAAACACCAACCACGACTTGAGCATCTGGCGGCAAAGCTTCTCGCTGCCAGCCACTCCGAAAGAAGTCTCCTTTGTGCACTTCTTTCCTACATTGTGCGATGGCTGTGTGCATGTCATCTGGTACCCAGAGAGCTGCTTGTGTTTGTAACGTGGTGTCAAAAAGCAAGTGCCAAATGGAATGCTGCGGCCGAAGACCTTGCGGTGAGGCTGGATGCAGGCAGGAACTGAAGCTGAACTTGTAGCTTCCGCCTTGGGGGCAGTTTTGGCCTTGGCCTTGGCACTCTTGCTCTTGGCAGAGGCCTGGCCCACTTGACCCTCTTCCGAGGCGGAACTGTCTGACGTGGATGATGATGATGATGACGAGGAGGATGACCCAGAGCTACTTGGAGAGGCGCCAGCATCAGGAACAACAGCGGCATCATCAACAGCTGCCTCCATCTCCTCTGCGCACAGTGACAAGTTTCCATCCTCTTCACCTGCGTCTTCGTCAGCTTCGTCTAGCAGCTGCATGAGTTCGTCCACACACTCATGGTCTGGCAGGGCCGCATCATCAGCCTCATCGGGGGCATCGCATATCGCATCATGTCCTTTTGGGCCTGCCGGCAGCCTGGGCTTCCTCGCATGTCTGACGCGGGGCTTCTTATCGGGGAGTGTGAGCATCTCCAGATCTCCTTCTGACAACCAGACTTGTTTTCGCTTGGGCACTGGCGGAATATAGTCCGGATCTAGGATTACACGGTACTGGTTCACAGTCCCCAGATGTGGCACAGACTGTTTGTGCTTGCTGGCCAGCAGTAGCGCTTGCAAATACTCTGGCTTGATGTCATCCAGAGAATCGTATTTCTTGACGTACCAAAAACGATCAGAATCTTCATCTGCTTGAAAAGGATGCGACCTCACCTCTTTGGCTTCCTTTTGATGCTGCACTACTTTCATCGTCCATCCCTGGTCTGTGAGTGCCTGCATAAGCTGAAACTTGCTCATCTCCAGAGGATCCATCCCCTCATCCACCCGCAAGAGGCGTTGGAAATTTGAAAGCTTGAAGCACGTCTTCACATGTTTTCTGCCAAGTTCTGTCAAAGACCAGAGAGTCCTGCCCACGGTATTCTGGCGGCGGTCCACAAGGCCAGTCTCCTGCGCAGGATTTTGCACGTGACAAAGGTGTACGGTACCTTTGTGGAGGCGACACAACATTAGGAAGCTTTGCAGACTACCAGAACCATGGCCACGGAACGGTCACGCGATGACAACGCCTGTGCGCTTGCTCCCCACGTTTGGGTTACAAAAGGTGGCAGCGACACACCAAACAGATCCGAACAAGCTATGCCTGAGCGTAAGCAAGACTTGAACCCTCAACCCTAAACCCTAAACCGTAACCCCTAAACCCTAAACCCTAAACCCTAAACCCTAAACCCTAAACCCTAAACGCTAAACGCTAAACCCTAAACCCTAAACCCTAAACCCTAAACCCTAAACCCTAAACCCTAAACCCTAACCAGACTGGAATTCGTTCACTCACTCCCTGAAGTCCTGCCAGGAAGAAAGAGCGCGAAGGAGATCGGCATCTGGGTTTCCAAGGTCTGCTCCCTCAGGCGTTGTCACCATTGCATCAATTGCAGAATCCTGCGCAACACTGTACCTCAGCTGCCCACCCATGTCCATGATGTAGCAAACCTCGGGCTCGACGTTCCAGCGAGAAACTTTCAGCAAGTCCAAGAGAGGGAAGAGGTGGGTTGTAAGCATGAGGGTCACATGCTCTGCGTCTGTGCCCACTTCACCTGCGGTTGCTACGTTGCTTGGCGTGCTGGTCACCCACACGTGAGGCTTCTTCTTACAGACTTGCTCATGAATAGAGATCGCAATGTCAGACTCTCGGAACTGGTTTTGCATAGCAATCTTTGCGCGATCGGGCCTTGTCGAAACAATACTGAAGAACATAAACGTATCTCCTTCGCTGCATGCTCTCACTCTCTGCATGTGGGCTTCAGCATCCACATCTTCAGCATGGAGTGTCTGTGTCAAGGTTAGGAGGGCATCTTTGGGCATAGGGCAGGAATACATCTGGGCATGTTCAAGGGATTCACTGGACTCAAGGCTGTCCAGCTGATCTCTCAGTTCTCGCAGTGCAGCATCTCGCACGACGGAAGCCTGCTGACCCACGGCACTTGCAACAGTTGGCACTACATCGCCGCGCTGCTCAGGACAGGCCACCAAAGCTTCTGAGCTCCTTGGGCTTGAGCCGCACGCGCCCTGCACTTCAGGCTTCGCATCTTCAACTGGCTGACGCTGAACACTTGCTTGAGGCCGGACGTGTATGCGTGGGGGAAAGCATCTGTACAACGTGAACCTGTCACCACGATAGATGACTTGACGATAAAGCTTGCTCCAAGGATGCCCGGCACTTGACAGCGCTGGATGCTTATGAAACCCAAGCCGGGTCACCAGCTGCTTTGGGGAACGAGCTGAGTCAAGCAGCTTTGCAAGCGTTGTCACAAAGTCACGGTGCTGCAGTTGTGCCTTTATCTCTGGAAAACGCAAAGCCAGGCTGTCAAATGCTTCAGTGTGATATGATGAAGGACGACCTCTCCGAAAAACTTTGGCATGGCCACCTTCAATCTTCCTTTCCACAGCGAAAGCAAACTTTAGTTTGGTCACGAAGGCCTGCAAATGCGGAAGCTCGCTGAGCTCACTGGAGTCATCACAGAACATGACTGCTTCTGATCGAATGGGATCTGACTGCAACTCTTTGATCTTCGGATGGGTGTCTGAACTGGCAAGGCATCGGCTCAAAGCATCTCTGGCAATGGCTGCTGAATGGTGCGCGGCTCCACACACCAAAAGTGGAGGAACTTTGAAAGGGGCAAGTTTCAATGTAAAGGTGTAGTACAAGTGGGCTCTGCCTCGTTCGAAGTTCTGCAACAGCTCACTCTTGTCAGCCGCACGCAAGTCCACAGGCAAGGCTTGCATTAATGCAACAGCTGAAGACCTCTGAAGCCCCTCAAACATCTTGAAAAACTCGCCGGCGCACAGCTCCGGAACTCGAAGTCCTCTGAGAGGGCACTCCTCCCAAAGGCGTCGCCTGCGGACGTCCACTTCCTTCCAGTCCAGATGACAGTGGCAGGGGCATCCTTCTGACCACCTGAAAGCAGACCGTACCAGCTCGTACAGCTGATTCAAAACAACCAACGAAGCCCAGAAAACGCTTGAAGTCAAGGCCTCATTGATGGTTCGCAAAGAAGGTGATATATGCTCATTGGACCCTCGCATGTACGTGTCAAGTGACCAGCCGTACAGTATCACTGGCTTGATTGTCATCAGGGCCTCGCAACAGAACGCTACCGAACCCCAGCGCTGGCGATACACCTTGCATGAAAACTTCTTCAATTGCACTTGAAGTTCCTGCCCCACTCTGGATGAGAAGCACCGCTCAAGCAGCCGAGAACATGACTGATTGTCAGACAGCCACCTACACGTTTCTGCCAAGGCATCCACTTGCTTATCGAGCAACTTCGTTACTTTCAAGACATCGTTCGCAGCGTTGTGAATTATGTGAAGTATCCCAGGCACCGCAAGAGATCCTGAAAGCGAAACTCGACGGTCCTCTGATTGGTACACATGGCTATTCTCAAGGAGGCTCTGCAACGCGTCCAAATCAGCAGACTCTTGCATGTGGAATTCTACAGTACTCTCAGGCATGCTGACCCAAGGAAACAGCTCCTGCAAAGGGACTGGGCATACTCTCGGCAAGGAGAATTCAGTTCCGAGGTCAAAGGTGCTGACACAAACTTCGTCACACAGTTTGCCCACGGCATCTGCGCTGTCGCCAGCTTCCAATAAGAAAGCATGCATCACAGCATGAAACTTTTGCGCCAGAGAACCCCCTCCAGATCCCAGGACGACGGGCGGATAAGCGTGGAACTTTAGTTCAGACCTCAAGTAGCTGATCCACGCCTCATCAAGTTCCAAAGCTGATTCATCGTCGATCTCCGAGTAGCACCTGGGTTTAGGGTTTAGGGTTTAGGGTTTAGGGTAGTTTAGGGGTTTAGGGTTTAGGGTTTAAGGGTAAAAACAACCGAATACGTGATTTGAAGCACCCACTCTCTGCTTCATGAATGCTGGGCTTCACAACAAGGCTTGATGCCTCGCTGTGCTCTGACATGGCAGGAACATCAGAAACCGTAGGCACTGAATGGAATCCAAAGCACCACAAGTTGATCAGATCGTTGCATGTTTGACAGCACTTCGGCGCCGAATCTGTGCTGAGTGACAATGTGGCCATCAACTGGAAGGTCCTACCGTGCTGAGTAGAACTGTCTGTCATCATCCACCGGACATGTGAGCTTGCTGCGTTCTGCTGTCTGTACCACAACATGAAGGCACCATCCAGCAAACACCGCCATCTAGAAACTGTACCTTTGTGTGGGAATCGAAAGCCAGATTCCTGCAGCGCACTTTCAAATACAGCGCTGATTGCAGGGGGAACAACCATCCTGACAGCTCCAAGAACCACCTCGCTGAGCTGCGAAGAATCTCGCAAACATTCGCTCATCAGGAGGACTTGGACAAGCCACATGACATTATACTTCAGTCTATTTCTCGCAGCATCACCCAATGATCGTAGAGAAGATCGGTTGGACATGTCTTTGCAAGCTTTCAAGAAAAACGTGGGGTCTAACTGCTCTTGCACATCTGACATCAGCAATATCAAGTTCTGGACGTGAACAAGCTCAGCATCTGCAAACTCATCCTGAGAAGCCTGCAGGGTTTTCGCAAAACCTCGCAATGCAATCCCAATGTCATAGGCCGTATTCTTGTCCAGCTGCAAATTTGAAACAATGTTGCAACCATTGTATACTGGAGCGGGAGGTGGAAGGCCCAGGTCTTTCCAGCTAATGAATAGCGTGCGGCTACCACCATGACGCTGCGTGTCAGCTACATCCGGAAGACAGATCTGAGACCAGGTTTTTTGCAAGCATAGGACTGCATGCTGAGGCGGCAGTCTCAAAGCCATGTGGGGCACAGGGCATGTCTGCAGAGCTCGAAAATCTTCTGGCAAGGTTTGCCACAATCGGACTGCCTGTCCAGCCTCCAAAGGCACGACGAAGCCTCTCAACTTGGCATTCGAGCATTGCAAAATCTCCACGGGCGATTGCAAGCGGCAACTCTGAGACACAGGAAAAAAATACACAGGGGCATCTGGTACAACATTGTGCCAAAATTGCCTTTGTTGTTCTGAACCTGATGGGTACACTTGCAACATGTCATGCGCGGCAGGAGGATCTATTTCCATGACTCCGAAGATCGAATTTGCATCCATTGGCTCCTGCACCTGCTCGAAAAGCTTGGCCACGGCGTCTGTTCTTGCTTCGTGAGGCACGAAAATTCTCTTGCCATTGATTCGCACATACCCAAGTGACGCGCACCATATCAGCATTGCGCGCAGGAACATCCGCCAGAATCTCTCATGAACCCATGGCTTTGCACAACATCAATCAACAGCTGTGCACTTCCTGCTTGTTCATTCCCTGATGCCATCTGCACCTATGTCTTGCTCAAAGCTTGACGTGCCAACCTCAAGTTGTCAAGCCGGCTCCAATTCAGTTACTGTCATGAGGATGATTTCTCTGTTTGTGTGCCATCGTACTTTCCAAACAAACAAAAACTACGAGTGAAGAACCCAAAGCAACTAACTGCCTGCCTGTGCCTGCTTGTGGCACACAAAAGCAGGAAGCGGCGGGGAGTTGGGCAACAAACACTTCAGTTCCTGCCTAGTCTGAAATCACAACCTGCAAATTTGATTCAGCGTAATCTGCAGCTGAAGGGCTGAAAGCTCATTAAGGCTCTTACTGGACACCTGCGCGGCCTGCGCCGGCGATAACGCAATTTTATGCTACGCCCTGCCCCCCCCCTCCCCGCCATTTGACCATCCATGACCGTCGCCGTCCCACCCAGTGCCAGTGCCGGCCCCAGCATCAATACACGATACACTGATACACGAAAACTAAAACAACATCAGTTTCCACTAATCAAGAACTTCAAGAACTTCGGAACGACAACTGAGTCCGAGTCCAAACTGAGCATCTTCTCCGATAATTTTCAAAGGTTTCCCATGACATGACATGAGCAAGATATGGAACTTGAAACACAACAAGCGAAAACAACAAACTTGACTTCACAAATTTCAAGCGCTCAGGCTCAAACTGAAGCCGCACTTAAAGCGCTTAAACTGAAGCCGCAACCACGATCGCGCAGAATCCCCCAGTCCCCCGGCCTCAGCCCATGGACATCATGGAGACTCACTTTCCCTTGCAAGAAACTGTTACTCAGCTATCAAACGTACACGATTCGGCAATCCAGGGATGCCAGGGATTGAAAACAGCACACGAAAGCATCTTGTGCAACCTACCATTCCCGACTACTCCGCCCCTCACCGATCTCTGCTGTTTCAGGGCCCCGCCCTGACCGCTCCCCCCACTCCAGCCGGCCTATCTCTGCCCAATCCACGCCCGCCCTGACCGCTCCCCCCACTCCTCCCCAACTCCCCAATCCCCTCACCCTCACCCCCCCAACCCCCCCCCCGGCCCTATGCCCAGTGGCTCATGGCCACCTGGGTTTACGGGCCTCTGGTAGACCGGATCAGCTGACTGACTTTAAAGGGCTCCTCCCCATCGCCCCTGACTTCCCTCACCATCACCGTCCCCCCAACCCCCCTGGCCAGCTGGCCATGGCCCCCTGGCTCCATGCCCTTGATGGTCCCCTGGCCCTGTGCCTAGCCCCACAGTTTTATGGGCCTATGGCCCTTTGCCTTTCTAGACTCGATCAGATGACTGTTAAAGGGCTCCAGTGCATGCCCGCCCCTCCGCCCGCGCTCCGCTTCCACCCCCCCCACCCCCCCCACCCCCCCCACCCCCCCACCCCCCCCCCCCCCACCCCCCCCACCCCCCCCACCCCCCCCACCCCCCCCCCCCCCCCCCCCACCCCCCCCCCCCCACCCCCCCCCCCCCCCCCCCCCCCCCCCCCCCCACCCCCCCCCCCCCCCCCCCCCCCCACCCCCCCACCCCCCCCCACCCCCCCCACCCCCCCCCACCCCCCCCCCCCCCACCCCCCCCCACCCTCCCCCCACCCCCCCCCACCCCCCCCCACCCCCCCCCCCACCCCCCCCCCCCCCCCACCCCCCCCACCCCCCCCCCCCACCCCACCCCCCCCCCCCCACCCCCCCCCACCCCCCCCCCCCCCCCCCCCCCCCCCCCCCCCACCCCCCCCCACCCCCCCCCACCCCACACCTTGGAAAATTTGGGGTCGGCGGCACTGGCGGTAGCCATTAAAAATATCTGTTCATACACGTACATGTATAATATATTCATACACATACATGTAAAACATGTACAAGAAGAAACAAAATCTGTAGATCTGCTGGGTTCAGGGCTTAGGGTTTGAGAATTTCTGGAAGCGACAAGGACCATGCCGGTCTTGGACCTAGTCATGGCTGTGTGCTTGTTCGGTCCTGCATGGCCTCAGTCTCGTCCAGCTCACGTTCTGCCTCGTTAGGGGATTTCGGGTTTTAGGGCTCAGGGTGGCGCAGCCAGACAGCAGGGCGGTCTGCATCACCAAGCAGCATAGGCTTGCAGGTCCAGGCTGTGACCACTACTCGCGAGGGCAAGAGGCCGCCACCACGTTCGTTCAAAAGCTCACTAAGTGCGAGTTGTTCAGGTCAGGATTAGGTGCAGATGATGGTCGCATTGCCAGGGTCTGGATCATTTGAGTCAGATCCCAAGTCAACTCCTTCAAAGCTGTTAATGGATGGCTTGGTGGCCAGACTGCGGCGAGAAGCAGGTCGTAGTGAAACGCAGGAGCTTCTTGGAAGACCTGGCCAGGATGACTGCTGGCATGCCAACTTTTTCCCACCCCACGTTCATGTTCGGGGTCTAGGGTTGGTAGCCCCATCCACACAAGCCGGAGCAACAGCTGCAGGCCCTTTTGCCCCTCCATGCCATAAACCCTGCAAAATTCCGACGACCCTAACTCTGGCCTCCTCTTGTTGCCTCAGGGCCGTCGCAATGGCTGCCCTTGGCTTCCGGGCCTTCGGTGCGCTCTTATTAGGTTTCTCGGGTATCCCTAAACCCTAAACCCTAAAAATTTAGGATTATGCGGGGGGGGGGGGGTGGTTGTCTGCAAGCCTAGCGCTCCTCAGTCCATTACTACAGCAAACAGCCACACTGCGCGGCAAACTTTCGGGAAAAGGTGATGCATTTGAAATACTGAGATTGATGAGGCATTTGCGTCAGGCACGGGAACCAGTTGTGTCATGCCACCTAACCACCCCAAACCACCAACAACCTCACCGCACCGCAGGCTTGCTCTGTGACCTCTTTGGGGAACCTGAGAGTGTGGCGGTGTTCGCTATCTACATGTCTACACAACATGCGTGAGGTGATCCAACCTGCAGCTGTTCAATGATGTAGTTCTCCACAAAAAGATAGCCACGGAGGAAGGTGTATAGGCGGATCCCATCCTGCCTCCCTGTATTTCAGGGGTGCTTCTACGCAAAAGTTGCCGAAGCCTAAGCTGTCCTCAATGTTGAAACCAAGTGTACATCGGCAACCTATATTTCTTAAGTTACGCTGAGCAGGCAGGGCTCCACGATCATTGCTGCTTGCGTACGAAGGGCAGGGTGTATAGAGCTTTGTGCTAGACGTTGCGCCTGCAGCCTAAACAGAACGCAGCCGAGAAGCAGAATCCTCTGTGTCAGTGCCGGAGACCTTCTGGCGGATGGAGCGGGCCCCGACCCCAGCAATATCCAAGTTCTGAATCTCGAGTGGCCGGTAACCATTCACGTTCTAAGCCCTGTTACTTCCGTCTTATGTGCCTCATAATGGGCGGGGCCAAGCCCACGAACGGCCACTGAGAAACCGGTGCGTGTTGGCTGAACCGCACTGCGACAACAGCTGGGAACTAGCGGATTACATGGACTGAACAGATGCCTTGGCCTTTCCTCAGAGCCGGCAATTTGAAGGTGACGATTGTAACCTTTGGAACCTCAAGCCTTAGCACCTCACACTGGGATAGTCGAGCGAGGCTTTCGAAGGTCCGAGTCTGAAATGCCCCCATGGGGTTCCATGAGGTTCAACTTTCGCATTGCTTCTGGTTTCGACCCACTCTTGCGCCCCGCAAGGTTGCGGAGTCTCGGTTGGCTACTTGCCCTTTGCAGGCAGAAGCTGCTTACCTCAAAGTCCGGACCCTGAGGATGCAGCGGACGCGAACTTCGCCTGGCACAAGGCCAGGAAACCCCGGATCTGCCCGTGGCCATCTGAAGCCTACTCCCCCAAAAGCGTGTGTGTTCCAAATGCCTCGCTGTAGGGCAGGGATTGTAGTAGTATAGGATCTGATCCCAATATGCATTAGTAGGAAGTATGGCTGTATGGATCAATTTTGCGCTTCATTGGTCGCAATTGGATCAAAGTCGGACTATAAGGCCCCGATCCTGAACAGCGCTTGCCAGTGCGGTGGCATGCTTCTGGGCCTCAGCTTTTGTCTGCGTGTGTGTGTGTGTGTGTGTGTGTGTGTGTGTGTGTGTGTCTGTCTGTCTGTCTGTCTGTCTGTCTGTCTGTCTCTGTCTGTCTCTGTCTGTCTCTCTCTGTCTCTCTCTGTCTCTCTCTGTCTCTCTGTGTCTCTGTGTCTCTGTGTCTCTGTGTCTCTGTGTCTCTGTGTCTCTGTGTCTCTGTGTCTCTGTGTCTCTGAGTCTGAGTGTCTGTGTCTCTGTGTCTCTGTGTGTCTCTGTGTGTCTCCGTGTGTCTCTGTGTGTCTCTGTGTGTCTGTGTGTGTCTGTGTGTGTGTGTCTGTGTGTGTCTGTGTGCGTCTGTGTGTGTCTCTGCGTCTCTGCGTCTCTCTGTCTCTCTGTCTCTGTGTCTGTGTGTGTGTGTGTGTTTGGGTGTGGTGCGGTGTGGTGTGGAGTGGAGTGGAGTGGTGTGGTGCGTTGCCGCCACCTGCGTTGCTGACCATGTGCCACACGGCAGGGAGAAATCGATGTTTGATGATGCTGTACCATGCCCTCCATGTTTCGACAAGTCGCGCGTGCGGACTCACGCGGTGACGAAGGACAAGCCCGACAAGGCAAGGGAAGCTCGACTAACCCACAAGGACACGTGGGGTGGAAGTGTTGAGTTGCCTAAGCTCATTCCTGCGCGCGACTTGGTCCTAAGAACCCTGAAAATTAAACTGTGTGAGATGTTGTACCATGCACTATAACTCCTGTCAGGGTATAGGGACCATAACGCGGAGTCTTGTTCAGGAACTGAAGAAGTTACCAATCAACAAACCATTTATGATGCACTATTAAGCCCGATTCTGGGTGGGATCGTACTGTAAGTTCCCAGGCTCATTTGGCCTCCCCAGGGCTTTGGATGCATATTGACCCATTTAGTTTGCAAGCGAGGC